AAATCCTAGAAAAGAGACACCACTTCCAGAATGTGAAACTGGAAAACAGGAACCTGTTTGTACCATTTTGTCTCCTGACAAGTACAACTCACACACACACACACACACACAGAGCGTAGGGGGTACTGGGCAATCTCTATCACTGTCTAAGGGAATCAGATCAGTTTATTAGCCTTGTTTGGGTTTTTTTGGTGTGTTTTTTTTGATTCTTGCTGTTTCAATCTTCATTTTTATTATATTTTCACTGCACATTGTCTTTGTTTTATCTTTATCCAATGACAATTCTAACCAGAAATCTGAGAAGTACCTTGTAAAAGAAGTCGCATACTGCCTATGTTTTTCTGGTATGATTGGAGGTATAAAAGCTGTGAGGAAAAAGTCTCTGAAGATCATTCTCATACCATTCACCTTGAAGCTTTCTAAATGTTTAAGCTGTTATTCAAAGTGTACATAGTAATCTAAACAGAAGTGTGGATGATGTGTGTGCCTTGTGAGGTAAGATAAAATACAGAAATATTTATTGCTGTGTGACATACAAGGTTGTGTGGTCAATGGTGTATAACTGAGCCACATAAAACATTTGAAGTTTGTGTATTTATTGATTTCATGTGGCTGTGGTGTCCATCCTCATGAAAATGGAGATTTACTGTGAGCTATTGGTCCCAGGTGTTCATTAAAGATGGGTAACAGGGTGGGTTTTAGTACTGAATTTATCTAGAACTGGGAAATACATTCTGAATGTCTTTTATGGCGCAATGACTGTACCTTGGCAGTTGTGGAAACCCTAGATATGATGGCATTTGACTCTGCACCGGTGTCTTTCATAGGGCTATAAATGACTGCAGTCCTGTTATCTCTTCAAGAGTTGCTGCTGCTCAGTATCTGTCATAGTGGAGCTAAAGATAGTGAGATCATTAAAACAGGGTGAAGTGCCTTGTTCTTTAATCATGTTCTGCAAACACATGTAATTGGTCTTGCAAAAATTTGTTCCTGAAGAGGTCTTAAAAAGTCAAGCCTTCCCTTGCTACATTTGAGAGTGTTTCTTACAGGGTCTGCTATATTTGCCCTAGAATACATACTGTGCTGCTTTGATACTGACAAAAGTGGCAGCAATTCTTATTTTCAGGTGGCCCTCATGCTTTTCATTAGGAATGATCAGTGCTGCTCAAAGCTTTTCAGCCATACTGAGAAAATTTGATTTTCCTGCTCCAGAAATGAGCAGAACTGTGCCACTTTTCCATTGCTAAGGGGACAGGCAGGGGCAGATGGGCTGCAGCAAAAGGCAAAACTTCTGCCCAGCTCCCACTGTGGGCTGAGCTGCTCTCTCTCAGATCCTGTGATGGGAACAGCAGCCTGGATTCAGAGCTTCAGTATAGGTGATGGGGTTTTAGCTTCTTTTGCTCTGCTAAAAGTATTTGTGAGTAAGATAGATCCTACTAGAGGAAGGATTTGTGAATTCCTAAGTTTGATTTTTGTGGTTGTACGTAAGGGTTCTGCATTGCTGCTTGGACATTAGAAGGTGGATCTCTTTTTGTTTATTTGTCTTTTCCTTTGTTAGGAACCTATTTTTCTCTTGGGTCACTGAAATTCAACAGGGTGAAAAGCCTGTGAGGAAGAGATGTTCTTCCCTTCAAATTTTATTAGAAACATATAATTCCCCCACATCTGAGTAACTGCCTTTCCCTTGGTGGGCCTGTGCTAACATACACCATCTGAGTGGTCATGGCTCTGAGTATCAAGTGGAGTCTCCAGATGCGGACAGAAGTTGCCTCCAGTGAGATCAGCAGCTGTAGTAAGGAGAGTATTGAGCCAGGGATCTCCCCTATACTCATCAGAAAAAAATTGCCTGGGATACTAAGGGAGACAGGAAATTCTGGCAGTGTTGAGAGGTAAAGGGTGCAGAGCTAGCTTGAACTTGCAGAGCTTGTAGAGATTGATTTAGTCAAGAGCTAGATTTTCCACAGTGTTACCAGAACTCAAAAACTGGAACGTGCAGAGACACTTAGGACTCTGAATGAAGACAAACAGTTCATCATCCTCATGGGAATATGATTCACAGAAGTCTGGTCTAACTCCCTCTACTTAGCTTGAGTCTGGCAGGACTGATACTGAGCTGGAGCTCGTAAGTCCAGCTCACACTAGAGCCAGTCTTCTGCTCAGTATCCATGGACTGTTTTTCCATTATTTGCTGTATTCTAGGTAGTAGACACCGACTTTTCTATGTAGAAAGATACGAATTGTGTGTATTTATTATAGACAGGCATAAGTATATATAAAAATCTAAAATATATGTCACACAGAATATGTATATATATATATATACAAAATGTATTTTTTCTGTAAAGTTAACTACTGAAAATCTAGGTAGTACAGGGATGTATTCCACAGGAGCAACTTTATTTCTGGTAAGAAGACATAATGAGAGCTTTGCAGAAACATTTTCTAACACATTTCAGTATTGTAAAGTTATCGGTTATTGGGTGAATCTGAGTTATAAGGTGAACAAGGCTATTGACTGTAGGATCTCATTTTAGGTGGTGATGGTAGGTAGTGAATCGGATAAATGCAACAGGAAAAGCAATACAGAAAATTGCTTCTATCTGTTCCACCTAATAGTTCCTACATGGTCTTGTGCAAATAAATTAAATTAGGCTTTTCACATCTTTTCTGTCAGTTCATCAGTTCTTTCTGTTCTTCAGTACAAAACATCAGGGTTTCCACTGCTCCATTTCCCAGGTACTGAGTACTCATAGCATACAGACTGTCAGTTATTTAGTTGCCCAGATTTTCTAGGGTTCCTAAACCTTTTAAGCACTTGAACTTTTCAGTGGAACTGACTATAAGCCTTTAACAAGTGTGTATGCATTTTCTTATATGTTTCTCAACAAATTGAAGTGATCTCACAAAACTCAGAGAGGTGATCCTGTAATTCTGGCTCATCTATTTCTTCACTGGGCCCTTCTCAAGCACCTGCTTGGAATTTCTCAGTTTTACCAGAGGGCAAGCCAATGGAGAGTGAGAGGAAGTTTGGGGCCCTCAGAAATCAAGAAGTGCAGTGAAGGGGTACTTGATTCCATTTCCATGGAAGGATTTCTTCAATGCTGTATAGCAAATACAATAGGACACGTGCATCTGAACAATAAAGATAAGACAGCAATTCAATATTTCTTCTTATCTGTTGAATGCCATCCATCTTATGTAATTAAAGACTATGCTATCTTGTGTTTAAATGCAGGAGGACAGATTTCAAGATGCTTGTGTGTATTTTGGTACTTAATTAATGGCAGCTTAGCTCTTGCAAGGGTTCCAAAGATATCATTGTGCTAAACAGTGTATATCCACGGAGTAAGACATGGATTATGTCTCTTCAGATGGTAAATGAAGGCAGGATAAATGGTAAAAGTGAGGGGAATTCTCTACAATTATTGATGACAGCCTTGGACTGTGGATTAAATGACATTCCCTTAGTAAACAGAGAGGTATAACAAAGTTTAGCATTTCAGCTACATCTTATGACATATTTGGACAAATTTTTTATACTAGTCTGGTGATGTAAGATTTGCTGATGTGTTTGTGAGACATTATTGGCCTTTTATCCTTTCGGACTGTGGGGGAGCCCACTGTCCCTGCAGCAGAGGCAGCAGGAACACACAGGTTACCTGTTCTAGTGCAGAGTGGTTACAGTCAGGGAAACAGGCTGTTTCCCTCAACCAGATGAGGCAGATGCACCAGCACTGCTCTGCTGCTTTGCCTGGCAGGCAGAGGGGAAGGGTGGGAGGGATGAAGAAGGTGTAATAGGTGGCTTAGGGAGGGTGTCAGTTGCAGGTGTCAGCTGCATCTTTTGTCTGTCCACAATTCAGTCCTACTCCAGTGATTTGACTCAAAGCAATACTACTAAGATAATATAAAGGAGAAAATAAGGCTTAAGTTAAGAAGGTACCATCTTGCTCCTCTTAGGTCTTTTTTAAGTGCTAAAAAGTCAGAACTGGTTTTTCTCTCAGTCCTAGTTGCTTTTGTGAAAAAAAAAACTGTGTGAGAGTATTTTGGAAATAGGCCCAGTGTTTTCTTCTCTCTTTTCTTTTCTATGGCAAATATGTAAATTTAAAACCTGATGAAACACTTAGTTTGAAGTCTGAAGAAAGGTTTATGAATGTGAGGATGGGAAAAAAAAAACGGCAGGCATTTCCATTTTGTAAAAAATTTGGCAAGGATCCCTTCACAAGGAGGGGCAAAGTAACAAATTCCTTCACAGCTATATGATCTGTTGTGCTGTCCAATTGATTATGAAGAGAACTGTGGTAGTATTGCCTGGAACTTAACTGTGATTTTTTATTTGTCTCTTCAACTTGTTTAACTGGCCTAACGATGTGAATACTGCAAGGGAGACATATGCATTCTGTATTATCTAATATATGTTTTTATGTAACAGTTCTTCTGTGTGTATGCAGTACTTGAAGCGGACTACATGTCCTGAAATTTGGAATTAATTATCTGGCCCTTTGGTTTTGTCTCATTTATTGCTATTCAGAGAGTTCTGTGTGTATTGACCAAAGATAAATGTACTCTTGAAAGGGAGAGTGTTGCACCATTACCCCAAGCAGGAGACACAAAATACCTGTTCAGGGAGAAGGAGGATGTAATGTTGAAGGGAGGGTTCTTACACATGGAGATAGCAAACAGAGAAAATAGTATTATATTCCTCATTTTTGTAGTGTGAAAGTATTCCTGGCATATATCCTAGAGGGAAGGAAAATTCAGAGGAGGAAGATTTTTGTAGAATTCTGAAAACTCTGAGGGGAACAAGATGTACAACAAATTGCTAGGATGTGAAATACACATTTTTTTCAAATGTAAAATTTTAAGATCATTCAAATGTCTCTTTCCTGTTGGTCTGTACTGTTTGCAAATAGATTTTTTTTCTTTTTTTTTTTTACTCTAAGAATGTTTCCATTTTTTAAAATATAATTATTGTTGTTGTTGTTTTTGTTTTTAAACTGTAGGTATGAGAAGGTGCCAGTAATTCTGGTTGGTAATAAAGTGGACCTGGAAAGTGAGAGAGAAGTGTCATTGAGTGAAGGCAGAGCCTTAGCTGAAGAATGGGGCTGCCCCTTTATGGAGACCTCTGCTAAAAGTAAAACAATGGTGGATGAGCTCTTTGCGGAAATTGTTAGACAAATGAACTATGCAGCACAGCCAGACAAAGATGATCCATGCTGTTCTGCATGTAATATACAATAGCATTAAAAATGACCTAACCTGGACTTAATTTGCAGAAATTTTGTAAGGTGGTAGAACTGTCTACTTCACTTCCTGGTTTGTGGGTCACTTGAAATACATCTGTAGTGAAGTAGCAACATTAACTCAGAGCTGAGCATTGAAAGTCAATCACTGACTCTGAATATAATTGGGTTAAATGACCACATCTCACCCGTTTTTTCCCTTTGAGCACCTGCAATTTTATGGCACAGTCAGTTGATCTACAGGGTCGTTCTAGTCGAACGTACGTGTGTTGTCACGTCAGACAGCAACAACAGCAACTATTTCCGAAGAGGACAGAATCCTTTTGGAAACGGGATATGAAAGCAGTGGAGAGGATATCTCTGAAGACCTTTCATGACAAGCATAACCATGAAAAGGAGAGCCAAGTCTTTTGGTGTCTGATTGCCACGCTTCAGAATGGGCACTATCACATGCGGCTGAGTTTGTTCAGTCAGTTATGTTGATTTCACCAGAACTTCTGACAGTGTTGGAGGAAAAGGCTACCAGAGACCCATATAGTTTGGATTCTTTTCAAAATCAATGCTATTATTTCTACACTTTATCCCACATCTTGAAATACAAAACATTGAATCAGTGTGTGAAATGAGAGGCAAGATCTGGAAACAAGTGACGGGTGAACAGTCTGGCATTGGAATGTTTTAAATCTTTCATTTTGCTGCTCAAAAATGGAGGATCGCTTCAGGTTTTGGTCTACAGAAAGCCAAACAAACCCTCTGTTTACAAAGCAGGAAGCATCTTTATTTTCACTTTACTGAACCAGGAGGAAGCAACTGTGATGAAAAAAAAATTGCTGAGCCTTACTAACAAGGAACACTTTAATAGATTAACTAGTACCATCTTGTAAGGAAAATTAAGCCATGTTTCATCCATATGTTCCCTTCTGCAGAAACCTCGTGGGACAGTATGAACATCCTGCATTTTTAAGTTTGTTAAAGACAACAGTTCTTCTTGCCTTTAAGGGCTACATTCTCTGGTGTGATCCCAAACTAACCTTTGAAAATCCAGTTTGCTATTTGATAGCTTTAATGTTGAAAACTTAAATTGAATAACCATGTGAAATCATTTGGTTCAGAGGTGAAATAGTTACGGTTGTAATTCCTTAGGTGAGTGTGGACATGGCTCTTTAATTGCCTGACACACTATTCAAAGGTTGCCCCAATTATTGGAGTGTTTAATGGTGGGAGCAAATATTTTATTTGGAAAGGATGCTCGAGCTCTGACTTGCTAGTTTCATAGCAGTGAAGTATTTATCATTTGCATGACTAATGGCACAGAAATACCTATTTCAAAGTCTTACAATCAAAGTATAGAAAAGTTTTCAATCGCAATGTTTAGATTTTAAATGCTGGAGAGATTGTCTTGAGCTGGATCTTTTATAGGTAAAATTGGCCATAAAAATACAGTCACTGAGCCTGTGGTCTAAATAACACCATGCGTTTATTAGTTTTTAAATCTTGTGCAGTAACAGTGTAGTTCCTTGTGTTTAAATGAGTGAAAATAGGGGTGCTGGGCTGTGTGTGTGTGTTGAGTGTGTATGTGTGTGTGTATATGGCCCTTAGAAATGCTGTAATTGGAGTTAGGTTCGAGAGTTTTGCCTCCATCTGCAGAACTTCCTAAAAGCGCTCTCATCTGCCACAAAGGACACTGGAGTAGAAAACACTTTGCAGATTTCCATAACATAAATATCCTTAACATTTTGAATTATAGTTCACTGGATGATAACTAAAGAAAATCATATTCACAGAAGAGAACTGGCCAACTCTGCCCTTAATCTTTCAAGACCTTTCCACAACCAGTGTGACAAAGGGCATTAGATGTCACAGAACATTAAGCCTTACTAGAAAGTAAATGTAGCCCATTTCCCATCTACTTTACAGAGCTTTTGTTACTGTACTTTGTTCTCTTAGGGAGATAGGCACACCGTTTATTTCTGGCATCTGAATGCCCATTTTGGGTGCTCTGAATCGCCCTCCTAGAGGCACCTACCTCTTTCTATTGACTGTATAGCAAACTTAGGCGTTTAACTTTAGTCCTCCAAGTCACATGACTCACATGCCTAAACTAGATGGTATGAATGTTCTCTTACCACCCCCTGCCTGCCCATTGTGTCAGCTGCCATGCTTAAACAAGATGTGAGATGTTGGATTAACAATATTTCAGGGTTTCACATATCTAGATTGGGAAACAGTTAATCAAGCAGCACAATCAATCCGTAAAACAGCTTGTCAGTGTGTAATCCACTGCGCAAGCACTCAAAAAAGAAAAACTACAAAAAACAAACCCCAGAAAACAAACCAAAGCCAAGTTTTAAACTGAGTTGGAAGTGCATGTTATGCGAGGTTATTTACAGAGATGTTAAAAATCTTACCTCACAGATTGTTCATCAACCAAGAAAATGGCATGGAGTATGAACAGCCTAATATGAAGTTCATAATATAAAGCAGATGGGCTTTAAATATAGGGAAAATTGCGCATTAAATTTTTAACAGAAAATATTAAAATATCTCCCACTTTTGTTTCTTCGTTACATTCACATTTTCAAGAGCATAGGCCATATGTAAGCTACCATGCAACTTGGCTGAGGGGGCAAAGTGTAAGTGTCGTTTTTCATTGTATAGTTCTGAGGAAGTAGTTATGCACTATTTGTATTTCCACTAATGTGAAGATAGTGGAGCTTGAATCAATGACAGTTGCACTCAACAGATTTTTCAAGTTATAGGGGTAGCAGAAAGGGAGGTGGGTGAGCCACACGGCAGCTGCATGGCCACCCTGCAGGAATCACTGGTCTTGAGTCACTGTTTCATTTGTACCCTGATAGGATTACCAATTATAGTATTTGAAAGTTTCTTATAACATGCCTTAAAATATTATGATTTGTTCCAAAGACCCACTTTTCCTTTGGCTGTTCTTGTAGAGCCTTGTACTTTTCTACAAAGGCAGCATTTCTCCAGTTTTGTTGTTTTTTTTTAAGAAAAAAGTTGCAACTTTTATTCTTTTAAGCTATGATAGTGAGAGCAACTGTTTCCTCTTTCCCTTAAAAATACACACAAAAACAATTCAAAGCAAACCAACCAGAATCAGATCAAGAGTATTAAATATGACTTGCATTGGATTTTGTTTGGGATTTTTCTGTTGTGCCCATCCCCCTGCCCACCCCTTCAGAGCATCAAAAAAAAGAAATTTGGTGACATTTTCTGTTCTGATTCTAGCCTCTCCCTAACCCCAGTGCTACAGTTGCCATTACTTTTCTGTGGGGAAAACTACTGGTATTTGCTTTCCTGTATAGAATGTTACCTAAAGATGTCAGCCATTTGGTTGGGGGGTTTTGTGCATGTTTGTTTTTAATTTTTTTTTTTTTTTTTTACCAGTGTGCCATCAAAGCACTGGTTAGGCTTTAATTGTGAAACTCCGCAACAAATGCAAATGTTTGACAACTGCAGGAGGCTTTTATCTGCATTGTTGTGCATCTGTTAATTCTTGATCAGGGTTTGAAGAAAGACTGAAGTGGGTTCTGGAGTCAGACAACGCTGTTGATTTGGAGTTTCCTAGGGGTGAATTAATGTATTTCACAGTTAATTGTTGAGCTCTAATACAACTGGCAATTTAAAATGGGGCAACAGTTTGTTTTGTAACAATGTCAGTTGTTTAAACCTTGATGTTTCAAATAAAACAAGAATTGTACATAGAACTCAATGCAAACTCAGCAGTTGTATTTGGAGTTAAATTATTTTAACAAATAAATTTATTTAATGAAATCTTTCTTGCATTTTCTGTATTTTCCCTTTTGATTTGATCAAAACCTTTGTCCAGAGCTGATGAGGGTGCCCAGTAATTTGAAACAACACTATCAACTATATTCAGTTCAGCTAAGTATTTTCCAAAATGCTCTTCTGGTACAAATTAAATAGCAATAAATAAAAATAATATAATTTATTTTGGATGGATGGACGGATGAATGCATGGATGCATGGATGTTGTGATCTAAATTACAATCTTGATAAAGAACAATAGCGATGGAGGGAGTTTTTCTCTTCACTTTTCTTAGTGGGATACACACTGACAACAATCAGTAATACTCAGTATTTGGTAAGATACAGCTCTTGCTATGGCAAGAGAATAGTGCTTATTGTACATATATAATAAAATATTCCATATATAAAAAATGACCAAATAAAAACTTGTTCAATATATGATGTAGTTAATATGCAGAACTACTCTTATAGCACTGAGACTGCAAAGGGTTAAAGGAGGCTTGTTTGTTATATCAGCTGTTCAATTGATGAATGTTTGAAGGCTTTCAGCACCACACAAAAGGAGTTAGTGTTAAAAGAGCTTCAAATACAATTAGTGTTGCAGAGATTTATAAATGAACAGTTGAGCTAATGCTAACAGGATTATTCTAGCTAATTGGCACTGATCAGCAGTTACATTTTAGTCATGCCAGTATCACTAAAATACCCTATTTTCAGTAATGATGGGTGCTTGGTAGTCTCTTGTTTTCATGGCATGCATGCCTTAAGGAGCAAGAAGCCTGAGGCTGGCACATCTTAAAAGAGCTTTTAGTTCTATGGATCATATAGAAGGCTGACACATGCTGCTAATTGCATGTTTTTGATTTGCCCATTCATTCTGTAAATCAGTTCCAAGGGAACTTTTGCTGGTGGGTTCTTCCAGTCCCATTAGTTTAGTAATATCCTTTTGTTTTGCCCAAGAAGATACCTATAGAGAGACAACAGGAATTCATTGGGCTGTTCTGAACGGTTAAAAAAATGCCAATTTGTGACATGCTCTTTTCAAATAACTGAACAGTTAGAAAACTTTGAATTTTTCACTCCTAGCAAATGCTTTCTCTGTCTTTCTGCACCCCTCCTCCCCTCCTTTTTTTTTTTTTTTTCTTTCTAGCTTCTTCAGGAAGTTTTTTGCTCTGTAAAATATTTTAGTTAGATATAATATCTTAGTATCTATCTAACTGGATCATCAACCTTTGGTCAGTATTTCTGTTGCTTGACCAGGGAATCACTGGACTACATCTTCTACCCCAAGTTATTGTGTCCTTGCTGTTTACCTTGTGCTTTATTCTCCATCAAATAACATCTATTTTTCTGAGCGCAGGAAGATTGATTCTGAAATTGCTGGAAACTGTGTTTATTGCTCTGTCTGGCCCATAGCAGTGTAGTCATGTTCCTCTGGCAGGCACCATCTTGGTCATTTTCATTTAAGAAAGAAATTTCCAGCTTCCAGTGACTCTGTTTGAATGCGCTAGTGTCCTACTCAGTTGCCTTAAACATAATTCCTGTTTTGCCATAAAACCTGCAGAAAGAACTTTCCTTGTGTTTTTTTTTGCTAATTGCAGTCAAACATTTGGAACTGCAGGTTTCTTTTCTTCATAGGGAGGTCAGTTAATACATCTGGATTTTGACTCCAGTTGTTCAGGGCTTCATTTATCTGGTGGTCAACACAACATGTTTTTCTTCTCATGTTGGAAGTAAAAAGTACTGACTTAAGAGTCATAGGCTTCTAGAGTGATTCAGATAGAAAGGGATGTTTTAAGTTCATCTAACTCTAATCCCCATGCCATGGGCAGGGATGCCTTCCACTAATTCCATTAGATTGCTCAAAGCCTGTCCTCGAACACTTCCAGGAATGGGGCGTCCAGAGCTTCTCTGTGCAGCCTCTTCCAGTGCCTCACCCCCCTCACAGTGAAAAAATTTCTTCCTTAGAATCTTCCAGTTGGAAGCCACTCCCTCTTGTCCTGTCACTACAGGCTCTTGTCAAGGTCCCTCTACAGCTCTCTTGCAAGCCCCTTTTAGGTACTGGAAGACTGCCAGAAGGCTCCCCAGAGCCTTCTTTTCTCTGGGCTGTGGGTTGCATTTGCAGGCTGGATTGCAAGTGGGTGGAAGAAAAAGCCGCGTTGATGTGAGCCAGGCACTGTGCGATACTGGAACTGCTAACGACACATCTTCATTCCACTCTGCTGGAACGTTTTTTCCGTGTACTTTCAAGCACACACTTTGTGGTCTGACTGGAATATGAAATAGTCTATGGGGCGCAGAGAATTTATTTCAAGTTCTTCACGGTGCAGTGACCACTTACGTAGACAACTGGATAACAGACCTGGCTGCTCTTAGGAGTGTTTGCAAGGCCAGACAGCCACGTAGGAGTCTCACTGAAGAATGGAACAGTGAGGTGGTTGGCTGACAGAAGTGGAGAAGAATGGGGGTGGATCTAGGTTGAAGAGGTGAATTTATAAACCTGAAAGACTGCTGAAGAAAAATATGTAGGTAGACTGAGTGTTATGTTGAATGGTAGAAATATAAGTATTTAGAGCATTCATGTACAAAAGTGCTTATTAGGTAGATCAGAGAACTGGATTTGAAAATGTAGCCTTCTACAAGACATTCCATTGAAATAAGTATAAAACTGCTTCTTTAGATGTTGTATGGAAAGATTCTGAATTTTTTCTTGCTTTAGAATCCTTGTGCAGTTTAATAATCAAAAGATATTTACTTGTAACGTCATCCCCAAATACTTGAGACATGGCACCTTAGCTTTCTAGTTGTACAACACAGCTTAGGAAAACAAAACATGCTTTCATCCTACAGCCAAGAGTGTACTCTAGATCACAGCTCTTTTGGTTATTACATAGGCTTCTTTTTGCTATTCACCCTTTGTTCTTGGAGATGGAATAATCAAACTGAATAGAGGTTGCCAGGCACTTTCCCGTATAAGACAAGGTGATCTTTTTTTTTGCTGCTTTCCAAACTAATTAGTAGAGCTCCAGTTTTTTCAGGATGATCTCTCTGTCCCAGATTTGGGGATGGTTGTTTGTTCTCTATTTTTTAATGGTTCAGCTGTTTCTAAGGATAAAACAATGGAAGATGCACCATTCTGCATGTACTGAATTCTTGAAAACACTCTGTCAAAACCTGGCACCATTCTGGTTTGAACCACTGGGAAATGGCGCAAAACCCCACAGCACTGGTACATACGTCTAAACTTGGCCACATTATAAGCCATTGAAAAAATAGTTTGCCCACTATAAGGTGGGATAAAAGTCTTCATCCAGAGTTTTCAGCTGGATTGGATATGCTTTCTGCTCTTTGTATTTCATACATAGTAACTGCTGGGTGCAAGGCACAGTCCTTGTCTGTACACACTGGCTGAGAGCTGAGAAACAGAGTGGGAAAGAGTAGGACGAGATTTCAGCAGGGAGGATTTCCAACTGTAGATCTTAATGTTTCTTGTTTAAGGAATAGAAATCAGCTTTGCTGGTAGT